ACGGGCCCCGGAGCCCCGGGTGGACGGAGCCCGGGCCCCCGGGAGAACGGGCCCCGGAGCCCCGGGTGGACGGAGCCCGGGCCCCCGGGAGAACGGGCCCCGAGCCCCGGGTGGACGGGGCCCGGACCCCCCGGTGGATGGGGCCCAGGCCCTCGGGAGAACGGGCCCGGGCCCCGGGTGGACGGGGCCCAGACTGCGGGTGGATGGGGCCCGGACCCCCGGGTGGACGGGGCCCGGGCCCCCGGTGGATGGGTTCGGGCCCCGGGAGTACGGGCCCCGGGTGGACGGGGCCCGGGCCCCCGGGAGAACGGGGCCCGGACTCGGAGCCCAGGTGGACGTGGCCCGGGCCCCCGTGGGGATAGGGCCCGGGCCCTCGGGTGAATGGGGCCCGGGCCCCCGGGTGGATGGGGCCGGGTCCCCGGGAGAACGGGGCCCGGGCCCCGGGTGGATGGGGTCCGGCCCTGGGTGGACGGGGCCCGGGCCCCGGGTGGATTGGACCCGGGCCCCGGGAGAACGGGGCCCGGACCCTCGGGTGGACGGGGCCCGGGCCCCAGGTGGATGGGGTCGGGGCCCGGGTGGACGGGGCCCGGACCCCCGGGAGAACGGGGCCCGGGCCCCGGGTGGATTGGACCCGGGCCCCGGGAGAACGGGGCCCGGGCCCTCTGATGGACGGGCCCCGGAGCCCCGGGTGGACGGGGCCCGGAGCCCCGGGTGAACGGAGCCCGGGCCCTCGTGTGGACGGGAACCAGCCCCCTGTGGATGGGGCCCGGGCCCTCCGGGTGGATGGGGTGACCCGCTTGCTCCGCAACGCGAATAAGGGATATTTTCGATCGGTGGGCGTTTGGTTGGTCTTGTGTCCGTGGGTCATGTATACATTTCGGTCGGTTGTCTTTTGACGGCTAAGCATTTTGGTTTGGAAAAAAACATCCATCGCATCGAGATGCTCGTGTCTGATAACCATACGTCTACTACAGAACTTGTCAAGTGTATTTTATAGCATAGGTTGACGTAGGTCATTGAAAAATGAGAGCCATAGATGAATTGTCATGTAGAGGTTTGAAAATTTATCTTTTTAAGAATACTGTTGCTCGTCTTGCAAAAGCGATGATTGGATCTTGGAAAAAATTGAATGCTCTTTCCAACGATGCCATTTTTAATTGTCAAACGTATCAGGTTATGCAGCAAATGCCGTGTAATTAAGTAAGTCATGAACAAAAACCATTTTCTCCAGCGATTTGTTCCACATTGTTTTTAATCAATGCGGTGTTTTAATCAATGCGGGTTTAATCAAAGCGGGTTAATAAACCCGCTCCGTCTGACAGTCACCCGAAAATAGCATTAAGTCCAAAATCCGTCCGAAACGTCAATTTTTCAAGCATAAGTGCCCTCACGGGTGCACGTGGCGCGTGCCATCCCTGCACCGCTCACCATTCGATAGCCCGTTCGATCCTCATTGTTCCCCATGCCGATCGGACCCACGGTTACCGAGATACTGCACGGGGACCGGACCCGTGTCGGTCAAATTTAGCCATTTTCGCCCAATTTTGCAAGCCTGTAAAGTCTATGACGCGAGTTTGCACTTATTGAGCACGCGCCATGTGCTCACCACCAGCCCGATCGAGCTGAGACCCCTCACAGGCACGTTCCCCATCCTTGTTCTATAAGTTGCGCAAAGTTCAGCGCACTAACGTAGGTGCAACGGTCTGGCCTGTACCTACCCCGGGATAAGTAACACCATGCCGGGACCACGGTGACAGACAGAATCTACGTCACCACATCACCACACCACAATTCAAACCTGGCCCAAGGCAATACATGACCCATGTGAGCACGTTAACCCTCGCCGGCTCAGGCCATTTTGCGTCCTTCGACGGCACAAGGGAGGGAGGGTACGACCCCCTTCCTCGCGTTTGGCGTATGATCGAGCTAGAGCTTCGCGGAAAAAAAAACGAGCGTGTTGCCCGTGACGAGAGGAAGCCGATAATACCCAATTCCAAGGTCCTAGGTCACTGGTTGACCTTCCAGGTCAGGTCAATGACCCAAATGTCGGGAAAATCGGGACCTGTTAGAACGTCGTAAAATGTGGCTGCTATAGGTTTTTTGTCGGGGTGCTGATCACGAATATTATGTCAGTTTTGATCACAGATGATGTCTTTATGCAGTTAGGCCAGGTCGGGTCAGGTCAGGTCAGGTCAACCAGTAGTGGTCCCGCCGGGTATTCGTAGTACCTACCTACGTGTCAACCGCCTCTGACAGCTTTGTAACATGTTACGAAGGCACCAGAACTACTTCTTAAATGTTCAAATGGTTGTTAAATTGGAATTCAGTTCCAAAAAAGCTAGCCTAGAAACATGCATAAATTGAAAAAAGTGTACCGAGGTCATCATAGGTCAGTGACCTGACCTGACCTTCAGGTGACGTTGACATCCACCCTTATGCATGGGAGCATCATCAAATCACATGTTTGAACGCTGGAATCCACGAAAGGACTGCAAATGCGCGGCTAATGCGAGCCGGCATATGCCGAACCGCGATTCTGGCCAAACATGGTCTCGGAAAGTAGGTCACAGCTCAAAGTTCATTTGGGTAAGGGTCATTAAATTTCTAGGGTAGGTGTAAAATTGATGAACGCGAGGGTACTGAAAGTTACGTCGCGACCAGCCGCTTTTAACGCGAGTTATTCGCGAAAAAAAAAACCTTAGGGGGGTTGCATCAACCCCTCCCCATGTGCCGGCGAGGGTTAAAACTTCTTGTGAGCGAATTCACGTAATGAAGAAGAATAAAGGCACAATGCTTTGTCCGACAGAAGCAGGCAACAGTTCTGATTGCATTATATGCTATACATATTGCGGAAAGGGCACATTTCGGCCTCGAAAGATACGAATACATACGTCATAGTAACATATTTCTGTGGTGGTCAATTTGCGTAAAAATTGAACACCGGGTGATTAACTACCGAGCTATTGTTCTATCCAAATTTTCTGATTCAAACTCGCTCAGGGTTATCGTGCAGGTAAAGGGGGCCCGCTCAGCAGAATGCGTATGAAATATGGAGAGATTCTGAAAAATGGGTGGGGGGCCCGTACACTAGGGGGCCCGCTTTGGAGGCGATGACCCCCCCGAAACGAAATCCTGGCTGCGCCACTGGATCCTTCCACAACCACCTCCTAATTTTCTGCGATGATAGAAAACAATCGGCACAAAAAAATATAATTGCTGATTTCCGACAAATTTTTACCCCATTCTCATGAGCCAAAGCCCAAAAATTAATTTGAATTCGCTAGATTAAATCAATTGTCATTACACGTAAACAGGAGTAATCTCAGCAGAACGGATAAATAACCTACAACTGCTATTTTCAACGCATCAAGAAATCGAAGACGAAAAACGTCAGGAAGCAAACCACTATCAGGCTTCCTATTTCCATTAAATGTGACGTTGGTCATATGAACTTTAAACATCCAAAAAATGCTGTCTTCTAAAATGATGTCTTCTATTCACCAGTAAAACGCCTTTTGGGGCGACTAACGGAGCGAGCGAGAGGGTAAGCCATGCACGTGCGAAATTTCGAGGGGGTATCTCCAACTGACTTGTGCACGGCACCCTACTAACCGGTCTCTAGCGATGTGCCAACTTTGAGCACAATCGGCCCAGCCGTTCTCGAGATCTGGAAGCGGCACCTTGCACGTGCGCACGTGCAAAATGGGTCCCAACTGACTTGTGCACGGCACCCTACTAACTGCTCCCTAATCGTGTACCAAATTTGAGCGCCATCAGTCCAGCCGTTCTCGAGATCTGGAAACGACCCCTGCACGTGCACACGTGCAGCAGCACCCTAACTCTGGCACATGGATATCAATGCATTGCCTAGTAGGTGCCAGCTACATGCCAAATTCCAGCGTAATCGGCCAAGTAGTTACCGAGATATTGCAACGATTACAAAACTGACACCTCTTCGTTTTGCAAGTGGCACGTGCATAAGGAGTCACCCACATGCATCGGGAATAGTTCAATACTTTTAAGAAGGAATGAAGCTACCCTATAAAAATTACCGCATGCAAATCGGTCAAGTGGTTGCTGAGATATAAGCCTCGTAAAAGCGTGACCATAGCTGGCCGGCCGGCCGGCCGCTCATACTCAGAAATTTCCGTTATTCTACGTGACTCCGCTCGCTTCGCTTGCACCGTAATTATAAAAAAAGATGGAGCGGCTTTGGAGCGTGTTTCGGGGCGTCTTTTACATTTTTTTAGAGAACGCGTTCAGATCTGACTTAGTGACCCCATTTAGTTTCTTAAAAATTAAATGTATCGTTTAGCAATGTAAGCGCAAGATATATTTCCACACAATTATAAATTTCCCAAAACAAATGAAGGAAACAAATGGTATATTTTAAAGGAGAAGGGAAGAAATCTTCCAAGAAATCTCGCTCGGTGAATGAGCATTGAGTATTGGGTAATGATAATGAATATAGCCATTGAGACCGAGAAAGTGAGTCAACCATTGGGAAACAGAACAATCATGAAGAGAAAAGACGGACAACAGCATTGTCACCATCGGTGGCGCAGCATAAAGTATTGGGAACAAATGGCAATATTGTATGTAGTTAGATAGCAACCGTGACACCGGTGACGGGAAGATAGTTATCCGTTAGGAGCGGGGCACCCAGCAGAACGTCGAACGTGGGACCAATACCGACAATGTGTGAAACTGGATATCCACAAGAGATGGAATAGCAACAACAAGACATGATACATTTACAAATAAATAAAGATGGACCCAACGAGACGCTTCCCGCCGCTGGAGCCAGGTAGGAAGTTGCGTGCGGGGTACCCTGCGACACCGTGAGCCGGTGTGCATGAGGCACTCTCCTGACAACACGAGGCAAAGTGTGTCAGGGAGCTCTCGTGCAGGGAGCTCTCGTGCAGGGAGCTCTCGTGCAGGGAGCTCTCGTGCAGGGAGCTCTCGTGCAGGGAGCTCTCGTGACAGCGTGAGGTACTCACCGTGATGAAGTCCTGCACAGCACATGAAAAGAGAGAAAACAAACGTCAGTTACTGTTCCTCTCACTGGCGTGGAATAGCGGACGAGCACGATCACCAGCATGCGAGTAGCACATGCTGGTCAATTGGCGACAATTCAGCATTATTTGTGAGGGAAAAATACACATTAAGCGAGATAATGGCAACTTCAGAAAAGAGCAGCAATAGCTATAATTTAAACACACATAAATTGAAATGTTTGTAGGATAATAACTGACAAGCCAAGGCACACTTACGAATAAAAGTCAGAGAAGTTTTCGGGTCAAACTAATCCCATCGTCCTAAAATGGTTTGTGCACTGCAACACACAAAATGCAGTCTCATTCATCTCTGCAGACTGCAGTTTTACGTGACACTGCAAGGTGCAACCTGACTCAGGTTTACATTTTTGCTTGATGTAAACGTTGGATGGAAGGATAGAAGCATGTCCATGGCTGCAGTATGTGTACAGTGTGACAAGGGCAGTATCAAATCGAAAATTACATGCACGTGATCTGCGAAATGATTTTAGGGTGGCCGTGCATCAGAGGTCATCGGCGTGGAACTCTTCAATGAAATTACTAAAAGCAATGGCTATGAACAGAGGCACTTCGGAAAAGATTATGTGCGCAGAAGTCTATCTTTCCGTGATGTCGAATCGTGTTTCAAAGAGAAGACGCAATGCAGTCGTTGGTGCACGGGGCAGCGTGATCCTCAAGTGTGTACCGTAGGCCGTCGCGTTTCAATGTAGAGATGGAGTAACCCAAGAGCTGTATTTCTGCATAGAGAAGGGAAACGTCTAAACAATGCGATCCCCCATGTGAAGAAACGGACAGTGGCTCCCCTCGTGGGTACAGGAGAAGGTCTTATCATGCGAAGGAGGGCGCCCACTCCTCTCCCTATCGGAACATGGGCCGGCCGGCCGGCGCGGTCCCGCGTCTCTCCCGGTCCGTCGGAGCTGCCCGGTGACGGATGCGGACGCGGCGTGCACGGACGGTGACCGATTGCACAGTGTCGTGCACGACCCCGCCCGCGGCGGGCCGGCAGCCAATGGCGGCGGCGCGCGCGCCAGGCCACGCCCCCACCGCCGCCGCCGCCGCCGCGCCGCCTTCGACGTGCAGGGTATGTCCGCTGTATGAGGGTCATACGGCGGGGACGGTAGCCGTGACAGCCACTGGGCCGTGTAGAAAAACACAGGACAAAACCACCGACGTGACACATTGTAACAATACACATATTCTATTGTGTATCATTTTATTTGCTGTGCCGCTCCCAATTGCACTAGTCTAGGGGCACATTCAGCCTTCTAATGGTGACGATCACTATTGAAGGAAAATATAAACGAATAATTAGGTGTCGATAGTAAGATCAGAGGTTGGCTGTCGGCCGAACTGTAGTTGCTGGAGCTGCTCCCATGTCCAGGCGGTTGAACACGACAGGTGACAGGGGTGCAGGCGCGGCTGACAGGGGTACAGATGACAGGGGCACAGGCGAGGTTGATGGACCCGCTGACTGTCAGTGGCCGTCACCCCGGTCAGCCGCGCTGATAGGGACGTGCCGACGGCGTCAGACCGTCACGGACCGTCACACGGGGCTGGCCCGAGAACAGACAACAGGATCAGGTGGAGGGACCCAGTCGGCTCAGACGGGAGGCCGCTGCTCACGGTGATCCCGCCGGCGAGTTGATCCTGAGCACAAATTTAGCCTTCCAGGTGACGTGGGACAAAAGTTATTTAGGAAAATGAATTATCTGGGCGTCTTGCCCCCAGGCTACCCTAATTTTAGAAATGAGCGGGAAGCTTTATTACCGGAAAGCACGCATTGATTTCGGGCAATTATTGTTGCATCTATCTTACTATTTGAACAGGATCCATCTGTTTGTTTGTTTGTCTGTCCGCCACGCCATGTAGTGGGTTCAATTTAGCCGGCCTACAGGGCAGACGGTATATCGTAGGGGGTTGAAATTTGCACACCTTATAGGTGACAGAGCGGGTCAGTGCCTTTTCTAGGTTCCGACTCGCTGGGGTGCACGGTTCGCGCGTGGGACGCGCTGGAAGAGCGCCAATGAAATTTTGATCGGTTCGTAGATCTTCATTGAGAGCCGGGGTCGACAAACTTTGTGAGCTAAATGCATGCCGATCGGTGGCGAGTGCCTCGCATTGGCGGATAGGCAAGTTTTTAATTTGAATAAAAAGTGGCGAGAGAATGTGTTGATTTTCGTTCGATGGGAACAGTTTGTGATACGAGTTTACAAATGCACCGCGTTTGCCGCAATGCGTCACATTGGTCACAACGCGCCATTTTTGCCGCAACTCGCACAGTTTTGTCAAATATGGTCCGATATGGGTGCAATTTGGTGCCAAGATGCATGCTCAAACAATAGGTACAGATGCGCCGCATTTGCCGCAATGCGCCACATTTGCCACAAAGCGCCATTTCCGACAAAATTGAGTAAGGGCAATGGAATGGCACGAATTATTCTGTGACCTGACATGACCCAGCGGTGTTGGTAGGGGTAGGGGTAGTGGTAGGGGTAGTGGTAGGGGTAGTGTAGTGGTAGGGGTAGGGGTAGTGGTAGTGGTAGGGGTAGTAGTAGGGGTAGGGGTAGTAGTAGGGGTAGTGGTAGGGGTAGGAGTATGGGTAGTAGTAGTGATAGGGGTAGGGGTAGATGTAGTGGTAGGGGTAGGGGTAGGGGTAGTGGTAAGGGTAGTGGTAGTGGTAGTGGTAGGGGTAGGGGTAGTGGTAGGGGTAGTGGTAGTGGTAGTGGTAGTGGTAAGGGTAGGGGTAGGTAGTAGTGGAGGCAAAAGTAGAATAGTGGCCCGTGCTGATCCCATCGGACAAGAGGTGACCTATGTGACCTGGCCTGACCCAAAGTGACCGGGGCTGACCCCTTGACCCCGTATCAGCCAAATTTCATCCAACAAAGCCCTCAGAACAGTTCTTTTTTAAATCTCTTCACATTTCCGTCGATATCTATGCTTCTAGACGACACATCGATTTGAATCGAACACCATTCGAAAGCAAATTGGCTGGTGCCGCAATTTTTTCCTACCACGCAGCAAAGCAAGTGGCGCAGCCGCTTGTCTATATTACTATTTGAGGTGACGTAGTTTCTGTCTGTAACCGAGGTCGCGACATGGTGCTACGTAGCGCGGGTTACAGATCACACCGTTGCACCTACCGCACTGAAATTTGCGCAAGTTATAGAACAAGGATGGACAACGTGCCTTTGAGCGGTCTCGGCTCGGTCGGATCGATAGCGAGCGCGTGGCGCGGGCCCGAAAAGTGCAAATTCGCGTCATAGACTTTACATGTATAAATCGGCTTGCAAAAACGGGCGAAAATGGCTAAATTTGCCCGACACGGGTCCGGTCCCGGTGCAATATCTCGGTAACCGTGGGCCCGACCGGTACGGGGAAAACAGCATCGTGTAGAGAATCGAACGGCCTATCGAATGGTGTGCGGTGCAGGGGTTGGCACGCGCCACGTGCACCGGGGAGGGCACTTTCTTTTGAAAAATGGACGTTTTGGACGGATTTTGGAATTTATATTAATTTCAGGTGATCGTCAGACGGAATGAGTTGAAGCAGCGCCTATTAGCAATAAAAATGTACCGTCTCTCATGGAAAAATTGTGAAAAGCTAATTGATCAAAAACAATGTGGAAAAAATCGCTGAATTAAATGGTAGTTGTCCAAAATGTGCCACTAAATAATTACACGGATTTTGCTGCTTAACCTGATACGTTTGACAATTGAAAATGCTATCATTGGAAAGAGCATTCAATTCTCTCCAAGATCCAAATATCACGTTTGCATGACAAGCAACAGTATTCTTAAAAATATAAATGTTTCAAACCTCTGCAAAACGATTTTTAGTGAAAATTATCTACGCCTTTAATTTGTCATGAAACTACGCGCCTAAATTATAAAGCACATTTGACAGATTCTGAAGTGGAAAGCATGCTTATCAGACACGGGCACCTCGATGCGGTGGATATTTTTTCCACAAACCAAAACGTTTAGCCGTCAAAAAGCAATCGACCGAAATGGATAGATAACCCGACCGACACAAGAACAACCGAACACCCGCCGATCGAAAATATCCCTTTTCGCGTTGCGGAGCACGCGGGTCACCCTAGTATTCTACTATTCAAAAATCATAGCCTGGCAAATAGTGATGACGTTAAGTACACCAAACAAAATAATATGTTCAAAAGAATTGATGCAAAAAAAAACGGAGGGTAGAGGCTATCAATCCCGAGGCTCGAACATGCCCATACCGTCTACGGTCTAACAGCATTTTGTATCATTACCTATATTCGTAATCAGTGGCGCGTAGGATCCTAATAGTGAACAAGTCGGCATTTGCCAGTCATTGGCAAACATACGACCAACAGCTGGTACGGTTGTGCTTGTACTCCATCCAAGACAAGCACGTAGCGATTAGAAGCCATCTGAACACTGTCGCCGGTGCATGTAGCACGCCCGTCCCGTCGCGCTGCAGGCCACTCAGCGGCACAAAGGATTGCACGCTTCACTTGACCCAAACATTCCCGATGCCGACCTCTGTGACACACTGGTGACACGTGTCTTAACAGCTCAATCAGCTCCGTGAGCAGGCGGACGTCCCGGCGCGCGGACGGGCCCGGGCGGCCTGTCGACGCGGAGCTACGATAACACAGCTGCCGAAGGCGCGACGACCGACCGACGGGTGAACACGCGCCGCGGGACGGCGGCCAGCGAGCGGCAGTCGGTGAGGGAGGGGCTGCCGCGAGCCACAGTGGCACACACGAGCTCCTCCTCAGTCGGACCGAGAGGGGCTGCCACGAGCCACAGTAGCACACACACGGGTATCCTCAGTCGAACTGCGGATGTGTTGTCTCAGCTGGGCCGGGATGTGCTACCGCGCACCAAAGAAACGACACTTCACCTTCATAAGAACGTGTTCGCTACAGTTTGACACTCTATACCACAAACCATTACGGATGCAAGGCT